CGTGAACTTAGGCTTTGGGGCCTGAGAATCTCGGGTTTTCGGGCGGTTCAGGGTTTAGGGTTTAGGGTTGAGAGGGGTGGGGGGGGGGGGGTTGTTCGTGTCTTTGGGGGGTATTGGCTCTCTGGGTGGAGAGCTTCAGGTTTGGGGCTCGAACTGTACACATCTGCAACTACATCTAACTTGGGAAGCCCCCAACAAAAATGAGTAGATACTCTTCACTGCAAGCTTGCGAAGCAAGAGCCAGCAAGAACTTCCCTGAAAACCCTGAACCGTAAACCGTAAAAACCCTAAACCCTACAAACCCTGCAAACCCTACAAACCCTACAAACCCTGAAAAGCCTGAACAACAACCCTAAAACCCTTAAAGAAAAACCTAAATACCCTAAAAATCCTATACCCTCGAAACCCTTCAACCCTAAAGCACTAGAACCCCTAAAAAACCTGAACACCCTAAACTCTAGAAGCCCGAAAAGCCCTACACCCTGAACCCTAAACTCTAAACCCTAAACCCTAGAAGCCCGAAAAGCCCTAAACAACCTAAACCCTAAACACTACGCATCCTAAACACCCAACGCCTAGAAGCCCTAAAAGCCCTAAACCCTTAAACCCTGTACCCTAGAGACCCTAAACCCTAAAAACCCAAAACTCAAAAAAAACAAAGAAACCTAAACGCCCTAAACCTTAAACCCTAATAATCTTAGAAGCCCTAAACTCCCCAAACCCTCAACCCTGAAAACTCTACACCCTAAAATCCCTAAACCTTAAAAACCCTAGAAGCTCTAAACGCCCTAAGCCCCCTAAAGCCTAAACCCCCTACAGCCTAAACCCCCTAAACCCTAAACCCTAAACCCTAAACACTAAAAGCCCTCAACCCTAAACCCACACTCTGGGCTTCCGGACGACCCGCTCTCCCACTTGGCGACCGGCCGCGACTGCTGAATGCGGGTCGTTGGCCTTGCTGAGCCCAAAGGTCGCTTGGTGAGGGTTTAGGGTTTAGGGTTTAGGGTTTAGGGTTTAGGGTTTAGGGTTTAGGGTTTAGGGTTTAGGGTTTAGGGTTTAGGGTTTAGGGTTTAGGGTTTAGGGTTTGGGTTTTAGGGTTTAGGGTTTAGGGTTCAGGGTTCAGGGTTTAGGGTTTAGGGTTTAGGGTTTAGGGGCTTATAAGGCTTAGAGGGTTTAGGACCGCACGTGACCATTGCCCACGAGTTCCGATCTCCGGGGCCTTGTGCAAGCGAGCGAACTCCAGCATCGGGGACTTGGGATTCAGGGTCTGGGGGTTGAGGGTTTAGGGCAACCCTAAACCCTAAACCCTAAACCCTAAACCCTAGACCCTAAACCCTCGAACAAGCCTAGGAATCTACTTGGCAAGCCCTAAACCCTAAACCCGAAACCCACTTGGGTGAAGGGAGCCAAGAGGCACAGCCAGTTGCAGAACCTCGAACTTGTCAAACGGCGGAGGCTGCAGGTAGAGGTCTTCCTTCCTGGGCTCGGAGATGGTTTCCATGGGCTAGGGTTTAGGGTTTGGGGTGTAGGGCTAGGGTTTAGGGTTTGGGATTTGGGGTTTAGGGTTTAGGTACTATAACCTGAATAAGGTACTTGAAGCCCTACTTTTGTCTACCCATGCGTCTTCGAGAGGGCTTAAAGTCTACAAGTCTACGGGGCTTTCTCAAGTTGGTTAGCCCTTGCGCAGCAACAAGGTTCACAGTACGTACCCAATCAGCGTTGACGGCTTGCACACCTCCTAAGCAGTACGTGTTTGCTGCTTCTTGTGTTTTTTTTCTCATGCATGTGCTGTGGAATGTGAGGCCATACTGGCCGTCCGTGATGTGCAGGGGCCTTAGGAGACTCCTTGCAGATGACAATGTCCGGTTGCCAGGGAAAAAAAAAGACGAACTGCCCCAGCAAGCTAGGACCAGAAGAGCTTATCAGGGAATCTAACCACTAACCCTAAACCCTAAACCATAAAGCCTAAACCCTAAACCCTAAACCAATCCCTAAACCCTAAACCTCCCAAAAGGCGAATTGGGGGGGGGGGGGGTACTACTGCTACTGGGCACAAGGGCTGAATTCAACTAGTCCTTTTGAGACCGAGACAAAGACAAACCCCAAGAAGTATACATGAAGTTCAAGCATGGGGTTTGGGGTTGGGCAATAACCCTAAACCCTCAACCCTGGACCCTAAACCCTGAACCTCCTTGAGCTCACCAGGTGGCTCTGACTCGGTGGCGCAGGAGAAGCAGCTGATCCCATTTCGCTGCCCATGTTGCCCATTCGGTTGGGGTGCCTGTGAATGTTGGTGGAAAGTTTGGGGGGAAGCCCAAAACCCTAAACCCTGAACCCTAAACCCTAAACCCCAAACCCTAAACCCTAAACCCTGAACCTAAAAGCCCTAAACCCGAAAACTCCAATAACCAAGGCTCAGGCAAAGGAGCCACAGGTTCGCGGAGGGTTTAGGGTTTAGGGTTTGGGGTTTGGGGATTGGGGTTTGGGGTTTGGGGTTTGGGGTCTGGGGTTTAGGGTTTAGGGTTTCCTGTGCCAGAGGAGCCTAAGACTTGCTGGACCCTAGGATTCAAGTGTTTTTGAAGGGTTTTTTCAAGGGGCCGCGCCCTTAAAGACAGGGAGAGCTTACAGTTGCAGCGGTTAGGGTTTAGGGTTTAGGGTTTAGGGTTTAGGGTTTAGGGTTTAGGGTTTAGGGTTTAGGGTTTAGGGTTTAGGGTTTACGGTTTAGGGTTAGGGTTTAGGGTTTAGGGTTTAGGGTTTAGGGCTTAGGGTTTCGGGTTTAGGGTTTCGGGTTTAGGGTTTAGGGTTAAGGGCTGAGAGTTTATACCATCGTGAATAGTATAGCCCCACAATAGCCAGCTATTGTGTGCAAAAATAAGGGTAAGGGAAGGGGGTTAGGTTCCAATGTGTGGGTGTGGATGTGGCCATCGAAGCCAAACCGTTAACGCTACGATCCTCGGCAACCCCAACATTTAAACCCTGAACCCAAACTATAACCCAAAACGCTAAACCCTAAACCCTAAACCCCAAACCTAAAAACCTAAAACAAAAATACAAAATAAACCCTAAACTCTAAACCCTAAACCGCCTGAAGCAGCTCCGAACTTTGCTGCTGGATCAAGTTGAATGCCTTGACCAGTCCTCAGAAGAAGCTCGGGGGGGGGGGGGGGGTTTAGGGTTTAGAGTTTAGAGTTTAGGGTGGCTAGAGGGTGTTGAAGGTTTAGGGTTTAGGGGCTTAGGGTTTGTTTGGGGTTCAGGGTTTAGGGCTCTAGGGGTTTGAGGGTTTAGGGAAGTCTAGATCCAGGAATTTAGGGCTTAGGGTTTAGGGTTTAGGGTTTAGGGCTAGGATGTGGGGGTTCAGGGTTTAAGGGCTTAGGGCCTGCAGGTCAGGGTGCGGTTTGGCGAAGACTCTACAGGGTTTAGGGTTTCGGGTTTAGGGGTTAGGGTGTAGGGTTTTGAGGTTTAGGGTTTAGGGTTTAGGGTTTAGGGTTTAGGGATTTGGGTTTTGGGTTTTGGGGACTTCGCGGGTTTCCACGGTTGTGGGGTTTAGGATTGGGGCTGTATACGTGCTTCTGGACATGCGGGAAGTCCTGAACACAGACATGAAATCAAGACTCATGGGTTCCCCTACTACCCCTCTGTACTACCAACCCTCGGTTCCCCCCATAACTGAGGCGATTTTAGGGATAATTAAGCCTAATTTAAGACAGAATCTGGCACCTCTCCAAACTCCTCCTCCAGAAGCACCAACACCACACAAGAAACCCTAAGCCCCAAACCCTACTCAAGCCCTAGACCCTAGAAAGCCTACACCCTATAAGCCCGAAACCCTAAAAGCCCTTAAATCCTATAACTAAACCCTAAGCCCTATCAGCCCTAAACTCTACAACCCCTAATCCCTTAAAGCCCTAAGCCCTAAGCCCTGAACCCTAAACCCTAAACCCCCCCAGATTTTGGAGGAGCCGCCTGTCATGTGTCCCTCGAAAAGGTCGAAGGCGTCACGTATCTGCTGCCGCCTCTTCTCTTCGGAGGAGAGCTCTTCACCTGCTTGGTGTGGGTTTAGGGTTTAGGGTTTAGGGTTTAGGGTTTAGGGTGTAGGGTTTAGGGTTTAAGGTTTCGGGTTTAGGGTTTTGGGGCTAGTGGGTTTGGGGGTTTGGGGGTTTGGGGGTTGGGTGTGCGTTTCCTGTTCCCTCCGCTGCGCTTTCACTAAAAAGGAGGCCAGGGTGTGCAGCTAGGGTTGAGGCCTACTGCCCCATATAGGTTCCCCCCATAACTAAGGGCATTTAAGGATAACTAAGGCCTAACTAAGGTTATTAAAGGGGGGAACCTATGGGGGAGGCACAGCTGGGCACCGTTGTGTGCCGAGGGCCTCTGTTTTGACATGCGCAAACTACACGTTAACCCCTAAACCCTGAACCCTAAACCCTAAACCCTAACCCTAAACCCTCACATGCAGCTGGGACGCCATTAGGAGCAACGCCGTTGTGTGGGACGCTGCCCGCCAAGCTGTCGAGCACCCAGGATGAGTTATTCATGATGTCCTGCAAAGGGTTTAGGGTTTAGGGTTCAGGATTTAGGGTTCAGGGTTTTAGGGTTTAGGGCTAGAAGTTCACAGTCCTTCACAGGGATTATCGTACCCCCGAGTACAAAAATTCCCTCTTAAGGACTGTTAGGATAAGGGGGAACATCCCAACTTACTTCACCATAAACCCAGGACATGAAACCAAACCCCTGCTCAATCGTTGTGCGCGTTTCGCATAATGGGACAAGAGAGAGAGAGATATATATATATATATAATTATAAATATAACTATATAAATATATTTATATATTTATAGGCGAATGCTTCCAAGAGATGGGCTGTAATGTCTTGTTCGTAGTTCCAACCAGCAGGTTCTTCAGGAGACATGAGAATGAACAATTGAGCTTGTAGCGTTCCTTTCAAGAAGATGCCAGGCTTTGATTACATAACGATTTAGTGGCATTGTCAAATCAGAAGAAGGCTACCACAAGTTGCAGACCTTGGATGAGGTCTGTGGAGGAGTTGGTCTGGAGGTGCACCAACATGCCTGAACCCTAAACCCTAAACCCTAAACCCTAAACCTGGCTCCGCTCCTTAGTGGGTACAGCGAGCTGCGGCTGCCTCGGACGAAGAGGAGATGTTCCCCCGGACTCGAAAGGATCGGGCGCGGGGCTTATGGCTTGGGGGTGTAGCTGTCTGCGGTTTAGGGTTTAGGGTTTAGGGTTTGGGGTTTAGGGTTTAGGGTTGGGGGTTTAGGGTTTACGGGTTAAGGGGTTTAGGGTTTAGGGGTTTAGGGGTTTAGGGGTTTAGGGGTTTAGGGGTTTAGGGGTTTAGGGGTTTAGGGGTTTAGGGTTTGCTTATACTTCGGGAACATCAAGGGCGTGTAGGCGATGTGGGCAGGGTGGGGCACGTCTCTAAAGTCTCTAAACCTGCTTCTTTGGACCTGCAGCCTGTACGGCCGGTGAAGGCTAGCCTTTTACCGCCCTGTAGCCTAGGTTGCCCAGCAACCCATGAATCGAAAGGGTACGATCTTTAGTTGGCCTGCACTGGTACTAGAAAAGGAACCCTGATGCGGGCAACCCCTCCCCCCAAAGCCCTAAATCCTAATCCCTTAAACGAACTAACCCCAAAACCCCACAACCGCAGGCCAAACTCTGCTGTCCCCCCCCCAAAAAAAAGGGGGGGATCAGCACAGCACGGCAAAAGGCACAATCACCGACTCCGCTTGCCTGCAATCTACACCCGGAACCAAGCGAGCAACCTGAATTGGAGGTTTTAGGGGTCCCAAAACTGCTGTTCTCAGCGAGGTGCGGCATCCAGAGGCTTGGAAAACAGGTGGAGTTGTTGTCTCTACCGGAAAACGTCTGACTGCTTGTGCTTTTCAGCCTCCTGGTTATAGGACTCCTTGTGTCGGCCCCGAACGTAGTTCAGGGTAAGGTCCCCTTAGGGAGCCCTGTGCGACAGGACCGTAGAGAGGGCCTCTATGTGCAGGGCTCTCGGGTTTGGGGTTTAGGGCTTCGGGCTCTGCTCCTCCTTTGGGCACACTGCTCCGGGAGTCTGGGCAAGCCTCTAAGCCATGCAGATCACGTCTCTAGCCGCGCGGTCTTGTGTGAATCCCGTGTCTCAAGCTAAAGGCCGAAATGCCGCGGAAAAAAACGAGTCGCGGCGAGGTCAGTTCTGAGTGGCCGACGGTTACGCGATACCTACTACTTGGAGGTTCAGGGGTACTTATTAACCGACTTATAACTGTGCTTGCAACTGTATTTATGTCTCAAGGCCTTATAATTAAGTGGGTTCTAAGTACAGTTATACTTGGTTAATAAGTACCACGGCCCCCCCCCAAGGCCACCCTGGCCCCCCAAACCATCAACGGATTGGTCGTTTTTAATGGAAACCTCATAGAAAATCCAAGGAATGCAGATCTGCGGTATTTAGGGATAAGAGATTAGGGTTTAGGGATTTGGGGTTCGGGTTTAGGGATATATGGGCAGTTCTCTACATTACGTCAACCTTGTAAAACGGACCCCAAAAGGGGCCCAAGCTTAGAGACCCAGAGAGTGCGGAGCCTTGGTGCACTCTGTACCTAAACTCCGACTCTCTCTCGGCTGCACTCCGGGGGTTTCTGTGTTGGGGTCCCCTAAACCCTAAACCCTAAACCCTAAACCCTAGAAAGGGACTCCGAAGGCCTTTCCCCCCACAAAAGCCCGGAACACACCGAACTCGCTGCCAATTTGGGGTTGAGGGCTTGGGCTACTCAGGGCCTTGTAGGATGCAGGGACGCTTTTGGGGGAGTATAGGGTTTAGGGTTTAGGGTTTCGGGTTTAGGCTTCATAGGACGTTCTCAAGTCACAGAGGCCCTGTTATATTTTATATATCGAAGCCCCCGAGCCCCAAAACCCTAAGCCCTCCCCTGAATGCCATGCTTGTTCAAAGTACCTGCGAACCCAACCTGCAACCGGAAAGCGGCTGAGGGTTGCGAAGCAAGTAGGCCAGGCCTATGTACAACTCAACGCCCCCACCTGGGAAGAGGACGGCAAACAGTTGAGGGTTTAGGGGTTCAGGGGCTTGGGGTCCTTTGGGGTTTTCGGTAGGGTTCAGGGGTTTTGGGGTATGTTGCGGTAAGGGTGTGGGGTGCTAGGGTCGGCGGTTTTGGAGTGTGTTGGGGTGTGAGGGCCTTTCAGGGCCTTTAGTACAGCGCGATCGAGGAGAGATGGGGTTTAGGGTTTAGGGTTTAGGATTTAGGGTTTAGGGTTTGATAAACAAACCCTTTTGTACCTAAGTCCCTCCTGTGAACCTCTAGTGTGCCTCATAAGTGGTCTTTCCTTGAGTCCCTGTTAATATAGGGGCCTTTAGAATTTTCATACCTAAACCCGAAGAAGGCCATGGCCAAACTCTCCAAGGTGGCGGACTGGTGGCGTCGAAGACGGCAACACTGAGCTCGGCCAGCAGCGCCTTGGCTCTAAGGTTTTCATAAGGGCTTAGGGTTTAGGGTTTAGGGTTTAGGGTTTGGGGTTTGGGGTTTAGGGTTTAGGGTTTGGGGATGTAAGGTTTGACCCATGGGCCCTTAGTAAGGCCCCCTTGTTTAAAGGGGTTTAAAGGGTTCCGCAGACTACGGAATAGTGTATAGAAGGGTTATCCCATACTTCGGATCCACTCTTGCTTGCCGCGCACAAGCGTGCAGAGAGTTTAGGGCGTACAGGGTTTAGGGTTTGGGGTTTGTAGGGTTTAGGGCTTACATGGTTTACGGTTTCGGGTTTGGGGTTTAGGGCTTATAGGGGTTAGGGTTTATAGGGTTTACAAAGCTTTATAGAGTTGTATAGGGTTTATATGGTGTATAGGGTTTTGGGTTTACAGGGTTTATCGGGTTTAGGGCTTGCGAGTGGAGGTTTTTGGGCTTTAGGGCTTGTCGGCGTTTTTTTTTTTTTGTTTTTTTTTTTTTTTTTTTTCTGGCGTGTTTTTGCTTCAGGGCTGTAGGGCTTGAAGTTGTTTCGGGTTGTATGGGTTTCTGTTTTGCGTGTCAAGGGTTTTTGGGTTTGTGGGTTTATGGGGTCTCGGCGTTTCATTTGTTCAAAGGGGTTTGCGGGTTTATGGCTTTAGGGTTTCGGATTTTAAGGGTTATTTAGACTTAGAGTTTTAAGGATTTAGGGCTCCAGGCCATTGGGATTTACTGTTTGGGGGTATTCGAGTTTAGGGTTGTTCGTTTGGGCAGCTGGGGATTTGGGGACTTGGAGGGCCAGTACAGGGTTCAGGGCTCAAGGGCTTCGTCTACAGGGCTGAGGATTCGGAGATTACGGATTATGAGGGCTAGCCCCAAACCCAACACCCAGGCCCAAAACCCTAAACCCTAAACCCTTACCCCTATAAACCTAAATCGGGCCAGCCAGGGGCCGCGCGTGCGAGCCGAGGACATAGAAGAGGAAGTCGCTAAAGGCCTGAACATCCTGGCTGTTCGGGTTTAGGGTTTAGGGTTTAGGGATTAGGGTTTAGGGTTTAGGGTTTAGGGTTAAAAACTTTAACAGCGCCAGCTCGAGCTGCTCCAAAAGAGGGGAAGGGGGGAGGGTTCAGGGATATTTTTGTTGGCTTCGGATTTGGGTTTAGGGGTCCGTTCAGGGCTTAGGGCTGTAGGGCTCAGGGGTCTAAGGTTTAGGACTTAGGGTTTAGGAGTTTAGGGTTTAGGGTTTAGGGCTAGGGGCTCAGGGGGTCGTCTGCAGCTTCGTTGGCGCTTTGGCCTCGAAAACTACCCTCGACATGGGGCATCCCTATGATTCCTCGGCCCAGCTCGACTTGCTTCGGGTTTAGGGGGGTTTAGGGGGGTCCATGGTTTAGGGTTTAGGGTTTAGGGCTTAGGACTTCGGTTTGCTGCAGTTATATGTTATCATAAAACCCACCCTAAACCCCAAACCCTAAACCCTAAACCACTGACATGTCCCTTAAGTGCCCCCCCCCCCCCCCGCCCGACATGGTGTTATCTTGTCGGCTGTCAGCCATCTTTCATCTCGGGACCCAGGTCGGGGGGGCCCTATAAACGTGTACTAAGACTATTGTGGCTTGATAAGGATTATACAGGGATTAGGAGTCATGCAAAATGAAAACATCATGTTCAAACCTGCCCCTGTTTCGGAGTGCAAGACGAGCTCATTCGGGGAAGGCGCGCCGTTGGCGTGAGTGCTTCTTCATCTAGAGTGTCGGGGGCTTGTATACGTATTTTGTTCTCTTGCTGGGTCTTTCCCTAAACCCTAAACCCTAAACCCTAAACACTAAACCGGCTAACCCACTTCTCTCAACCCATGGTGTGGCCCTCCATCTCGACATACGCAAAAACTGCAACTATAACAACCCTATTTTCCATAAGATATAAAGTACACCTCATAAGACTCCCTATTCTTCTTCTTATATTATTCTTATATTATTCTTATATTGTTCTTATATTATTCTTACATTATTCTTATATTCTTCTTACATTCTTCTTATATTCTTCTTCTTATTATTATTATTACTATTATGACTATAACTATCTAAAACCCTGCTCATTCTCAGTTGCCTCCCCGACGCGGCTGCCACCCCATTCCGGGTGGGCCGCAAGCACGGCGGCCTTCGCGGCGTTCTGGGGTTTAGGGTTTAGGGTTTAGGGTTTAGGGTTTAGGGTTTAGGGTTTAGGGTTTAGGGACAGCAGAGTCGGGCGCAAGGAGTTGAAGGTTCAGTCTTTCGGGGTGTCAGGGTTCAACAGCCTGTCTTCCACTGCTAAATTATATCTGAACATATATATATATATGGATGGATAGATAGAGGGTTTAGGGTTTAGGGTTTTGGGTTTGGGTTCATAACTAGCGCAAAAGATGTTGCCAGAATATTACGATCGTGATTTCGATCATCATCCGTATAAGTTTATGTTTTTTGCTCTTCTTGTGATTTTTGTTGTGATACAACACAGAACAATTCCAGAACTGCTAGATCAGGTCTAATATGCGAGAGTAGACAAAGCCTCCTAGACCCCAAGCCCCAGAAACCAACACCCTACTTGAAGGTTCATGGTACTTATTAGCCAGTTATAACTGTACTTGTACTTTTAACCTGATTAGGGCAGTTAACGGGCGTCTCAGTGGATCATAACTACAGGTATAACTGGTTAATAAGTACCATGAACCTCCAAGTAGACCTCGGGATGTTCTCCCTTAAGGACTCTTCTCTTAGTATAAGGGGCAAGATCCCGACCTAAACTCTAAACACCCTAATACCCTCAAACCCACACCCCTAACACCTAAACCCTCAAACCCTAAACCGAATCGGCTCCCAAGCCCAACCCTACACCCCAAATCCCGATGTAGGGGTCTAGGGTTCAAGCCCTAAACCCCAAGCCCTGCGCCCACGTAGCTTACCTGAAATTTATGATTTAAAAAATGGCTTCTGACAAGAAAAACAAAGGGCCAAAGCTTTTCGGGTGGAAGAAACATGGGTTCGGCTCATTTCCATGCAGCAATTATGGCTAAGTGGCTCAGGGAGTTTAGGGTTGAGGGTTTAGTAGGTCCCCCATGAATTGCTTTTTAACCCTCCAAGCCCTGAACGCCGACATTAGCCTGCTTCATGCGGCTCTATCATAGAAACGATGTACGTAGGCCTGTGTGAAACCACTGTATGATTTACCCCTTCAAAAGCCCCAAACCCTAGACCCTAGACCCTAGACCCTAGACCCTAGACCCTAGACCCTAGACCCTAGACCCTAGACCCTAGACCCTAAACCCTAAACCCTAAACCCTAAACCCTAAACCCCAAACCTTACATAAATCCTAGTGCACCTTCCTTCACAGCCCACTGGGCCTCGATGTTCCGCTTGAACGTCAGGGCCGTTTCCTTCAAAACATCGGAGTCGCAGCCAAGATAAGACCTGGGGTGGGTAGGTTTAGGGTTTAGGGCTTAGTGGTTAGGGTTTAGGGTTTAAAGTTTAAGGTCTAAGGTGTAGGGTTTATGGTTTATAGGTTGAGGGTTTAGGGTTCAAGGCTCAGGGTTTACAGGTTTAGGCTTCAGGGTTTAGAGTTTAGGTTTTTATTAGTCGGTCAAGGTTTGGGGGTTTTGGGGTTTAGGGTGTAAGGGGTTTAGGGGTTTAGGGGTTTAGGGGTTTAGGGTTTAGGGTTTAGGGTTTAGGGTTTAGGGTTTAGGGTTTAGGGTTTAGGGTTTAGGCGCTGTTGAGGGGGGGCTCTTGCGGTCTCCCACTTGGGAGGGGTGCAGGTTTGAGGACAAAGAACCATCGAGGCCATGAGAATGCCCATCAGAATTGCCATGTTTGTCATAGGCTGAAGCATACTCATAGTCACAACACCACCCTAAACCCTAAACCCTAAACCCTATACCCTAAACCCAAAACCCTAGATTCATACTCTCTATCTTGGTAAGGACACAATCAGACTAAAGGGTTTCGGGTTGCCCCACCTGGCCAGCGCAAGGTAAAAGCACTGGTTGTAGATGTCCTGCCAGGTAAGAACTACAAGAAAGGGTTTAGGGTTTAGGGTTTGGGGTTTGGGGTTTAGGGTTGTTTCTTCACCGGTTACCTGAAACAGAGACGAGGTTGAACCATATACCTGAGAGCAAAACGGATGCATCTTTCTATGCTTCATCGGTCTATTCTGGGGATCCCAGCCCGAAGAAGCAGCAGCATGAGGGTTCCACTGGTAGACAAGAGGGGTGGCCGTGCCCTCATCATCATCGGATTCCTTTACTATAGGGGCCTGAATAACTAGAATAGAGTTTTGGGGGGTTATTGCAGTACAGTTACAAAGGGACGATAAGGGAACATTATTCGAAATTATTCTGACCCCTATATAACCTCCTTTGCTGTCAAAGGATGAGCATAGCCCCATGAAGCTCGCCATCGCGCGCTCTCTCAATCACATGATCGTTGCATCTCCGCGAACTGCTCCATTACAGCTTCCTTCCTGTGCAATTGCAGCCCTCCGTTACGGCTCCGGTACATTCCGTTACAGCTTCTGTAACAAGCTCCAGTACCGGCACGGAGCCCCTCGGGTTTGTGTCATAATACAAGCCTGCAAATGATGGTGGAGCCACCGCCACCTCCATCTGGGTATTGACGAAGAAATTGAAACAGGAAGGGTTTGGGGCCGGTTTAGTAGGGTTTCTTCCGGGACTGGGTCTCAAAACCAAGAGGCTTCACCTGACTTGACTTAGTGCAATATCGCCAAAGCTGGACAGGCCAACTCACCCAAAAGCTCTGACTCTCAACGCCAGACCCTCAAGCCCAAGAATGCCAAAACCTGAACCGCATAAATCCCACGAAAAGCACTATACCCTAAACCTCTTCAAAGCCTGGCACAAAGTAGGTATAGTAAGTCCACCCCCCCCCCCCCTCCTCCCCCCCCCCCCCCCCTCCCCCCCCCACCCCCCCCCCCTCCCCGCCCCCCCCCCCTCCCTCCACCCCCCCCCCCCCCCCCCCCCCCCCCTCGCCCCCCACCCCCGCCCCCCCCCTCCCCCCCCCCCCCCCCCCCACATAAACCCCACCAGCCGCACTGCAGCGCACTTCTGGGAATCCAAGACAGTACAGCATCTTCGTGGTGCCAGTGAACCAGAGGCCCGGATGAACAATGGCCACGGGCCGACAAACCGTCTCGAGTCCGAGAAGCCATGGGTCTGTCTAGAGAGAACCCCGTCCCCTCCCCCGCCCCCCCCCCCCACCAAAAAAAAGAATGACAATATTGATTCAAACAATAAAAAACGAATAACAAAATTTGAGCAATTGTGCAACACCTTACATAAAGACAGAAAAGAATCAGCTAACTCCCGTCCTCCCCGCGCTCATTCCGGTTGATGGCACCGAGGTCGCACCTCTCCAGGCCCAAGGCCTTCATGACCTGAGGGTAGGGCTTAGGGTTTAGGGTTTAGGGTTTAGGGTTTAGGGTTTAGGGTTTAGGATTTAGGGTTGAGGGTTTGGGGCTAGGGTTTAGGGTTTGGGGCTTAGGGTTTGGGGTTCAGGGTTTCTGTGGCCTCTTCTGGAAGCCTGTGAAGCGCCTAAATGGTATACCCCAACTCACGAAGACCTGGCGGGTTCCTTAGTGCTTCTTCGGGCTTGCGGGGGCCCCTGCTTGGAAAGGGCCGGGGTGGTGAAGACACAATATTTGAATCTACAACTTGTCTTTATACAGGTCTTGAGAGTTTAGGGTCTAGGGCGTAAGGTAGCAACTGATGGTTTGGGGTTAAGAAGGTTAAGGAGGCTTCGGGTGTTTGGGCTTGTTTAAGGCTTACACGGTTTCGGGCTTGAAAGATTATGAACACGGGTCCGCCTCGGTCTGTGTCCCAGACTCGACTGGGGTTTAGGGTTGAGGGTTTATAGGGTTTAGGGTTTAGGGTTGAAGGCACACGAACTGCTGGATGCGGTTTTGGTACATGGCCCAATCCATTCCCGCCAGCTGGCCGCGAACCAACGCGGGGGCGGTAGCGCTTGCGTCGCTTGCGCCATCTCGCTCGCGCACGTACGTGATGTACTTGTAGGTGCACTTGGTTTAGGCTTTCAACCCGAAACCCTAAGCCCTACCTGCAACTAAACCACACAAACGGAACAAGCCTAAACCCTACATGCACGAAAGCCCTAACCCAGGCAAGCCCCACCACCCCAAGAGCTCCCCCCCTCCTAAGAGCCGATCAGCACACAAAACCCTATAAGCCCATAGAAACGGCCAAACGCGCATAAACCCTATAAGCCGCCCCTGTACACCCTACGCCAACCCCTGAACCCCTAAACCCCCCTATAAAACCCCTATACCCACAGCGCCTATCCCTCTGAACCCGATAAGCCCTGCAAACCTAATTATTACTCCGTGCGAACCCTATGAAGCTCATAAGCCCTAAACCCCCCCGTGAACCCTAAACCCTTCACCCTGAAAACCACACCCTAAACCCCCTAAACCCTAAACCCTAAACCCTAAACCCTAAACCCTAAACCCTAAACCCTAAACCCTAAACCCTAAACCCTAAATCCCAAACCCTAAGCCCGAAGACCCTCGCAGGTACTCAGGTGCCGGCCTCGTCCTGCCGCCTGATGCACAACTCCAAGTCCACGCCGTCCTTGCACACCCCACCTCACCCTAAACCCTAAACCCTAAACCCTAAACCCTAAACCCTAAACCCTAAACCCTAAACCCCAAACCCAAACCCTAAACCCTAAACCCTAAACCCCAAGCCCCAACCCTGAACCCCAAAGCCTTAAGCCTGAATCCTAAACCTCAAACCCTGAACCCTGGAACCCCAACTTTCGAGTTCGAGAGGAAAGCCCGATAAAACTCAAAGGCTCCCAATCTTCAGCAACTTCTGAAGTCTGGGTTTGGGGTTTAGGGTTTAGGGTTTAGGGTTTAGGGTTTAGGGTTTAGGGTTTAGGGTTTAGGGTTTAGCGTTTGGGGTACACGGAGGTTTATGGCCTGCGCTGCTGAGAGAAATGCCTGCCTGTAGACGAACTTGAACTTACCCTTGGGGGAACCTCACACAGCTCGAGGCGTGTCAACTTTTAGCCTAAGACCCTTGAATTCAGGCATACTCAACCAGGCAGGGTTTGGGGCTTAGGGTAGGGTATAGGGTTTAGGGTTTAGGGTTTAGGGTTTAGGTTTTACATAGGGTTTAGGGTTCAGGCACGGGAGCTCCTTCTCGAACAGCTCTCGGACAAGGGCCTCGGAACATCTGAGGAGGATGAGGTTAGGGTTTAGGGTTTAGGGTTTAGGGTTTAGGGTTTAGGGTTTAGGGTTTAGGGTTTAGGGTTTAGGGTTTAGGGTTTAGGGTTTAGGGTTTAGGGTTTAGGTTAGGGTTTAGGGTTTAGGGTTTAGGGTTTAGGGTTTAGGGTTTAGGGTTTAGGGTTTAGGGTTTAGGGTTTAGGGTTTAGGGTTTAGGGTTTAGGGTTTAGGGTTTAGGGTTTAGGGCAACGCCCCTGGACTTGCCTGCCTGGCGCGGACACAAAGAAGTCTCACCTAGGCATGACCCTAGTTCAATTCGGCGCTTTCGAAGTCCCTCGCCAAACGTAGGGTTCAGGGTTTAGGATTTAGGGTTTAGGGTTTAGGGTTTAGGGTTTTTTTCTTCTACCCCCAAAAGGACACCCGGCATATACACTCACCAATAATTAGAAAAGGAACCTTATATACACTCACCAAAAGCAGGAATGTAAACCCTGCTTCACATGAGCATCAAGCACTTCCTGCTTCTTCGTAGGGAATGAGGGAATTCGGGTGCTTATGTGATCCTTTGAAAGGGCAGCAGGGCGATACAAGGGAAGCAACTCCCTACCATTCAGAATTCAGGGGTAGAAGGAGAGACCCCTAGAAAGGACCCTTCATCTCTAATCCCTATATGTACCTCATATAGTCCCTATATACCGAAGCAGCCCCCTCAATAAGCCGTAAACAACCCCTAAGGTCCCTTATAAGGGTCCCTCCTGTAGTCCCTTGATACTAAGAGCTCCACCTACCCTCGGAACTCTGGACATAAATTGAGCTCGATAGTCTCCGAAACGTTCAATATCTGATACAAGTAGGGTTCAGAATAGGGCAGCTGTACTTGGGACCCAAAAAAGGTACTTATAACTTGTACTCCTGCGTGTACGTACCCATAAGCAAGTATGACTTTAAACAACCAGCTCAAGCCTTATAGACCCAAAAGCCGTAGCTGTTTTGATTCACTTAGGATCTAGGGATGAGGGTTGAGGGTCCCTCGTAATTGCTCTTGTCAGACACAACCTGCACTCCCATCGCCTTCACGCGGGCGTGGAGGGATGAAGCAGTTGTGACAGGCGGCTGGAGGAATAAATGTGACCATCACACTGGGCCGCCCAGTACCCCCACAAGTTGCCATTCTTTCCCAACAGGCATCAACTGCCTTCAACATCTTCGGTAGCCCAGTAACCTACCATAATAAGGGCACCCTTTTTTTGGGTTGGTTATTTTATAAGGGAACCCAGAACCCAAAAAAAGGGTAAAGGGTAGTTACCACTGGGCTACCCAGACATTTCGGCATCTGTTCTAAGCACCTCCAAGTCGTGCACCGGCCTCTCGGGGAGTAACTCACATTTTAGGGTTTTTAGGCGGGTTTAGGGTTTAGGGTTTAGGGTTTAGGGTTTAGGGTTTAGGGTTTAGGGTTCCGTGCTGCGAGCTGTTGGCTGCACTTGACCGCGTGAGCGTCCCCTCGAAGGACACGACTGAACGAAGCCAACCGACCCCAAGCCCCATACACCCTAGAGACCGAAAGCATGTCGGGGTTTACGAAAATGGGGGAATCTAAAATAGACCCCCAAATAGAAGATTCCCTAAAAATCAGGATCCCAATAAGGTACCCCTAAAATTTCGGAAGCCCACCTCAACCCGAAACTCTAAACCCTAATTAAGCCCAAAACCCAAAACCCTAAACCCTAAACCCCCTAAATTGCGGAACCCCCCCCCCCCCCATACAGGCAAACCGGAAAGCGAGAACCGGGGACTTGCCTGCGCCACAACATGAGCCGGATAGGGCTTCGGGTTTCGGGAAGAACTAAGACTTGCTTCTTGGCCTCGGTGGGCTTAGGGTTTTTTAGGGTTTAGGGTTTAGGGTTTAGGGTTTAGGGTCAGATGCTGGGCCGGCCGGCACGATGATCCCGCAGTTCGAAGTCGGATTGTCGCTGGTGACCCTGCCGGCAGAAAGATGCTGGACCCCAAGCCCTAAACTCTAAACCCTGAACCCTGAACCCTAAACCCTGAACCCTAAACCCTAAACCCTAAACCCCAAACCCTGCCCCCCCCCCCCCCCCCAAAGGCATGCCCAGGTCTGCCAAACCATGGCTGTCAATTAGGAAGTTCAACTTGGGATGTTCCCCCTTTCAGAAATTTGCGGCCGCCTTTTGAGGGGGGGGGGGGCACCCTTAATTCAAGGCTGCGTAACTTAGAAAACTGTACACTGAAGTCACGCCCCACCATCACTAAGCAGGCCTATGCGAACTCACCATAATCAACGATAAACACCCATGCTTCACATCGAAAATGAGAAGGTCTCAAGCCAGACCCCTAAACCCTAAACCAAACCGCCAGACTCCCAGAGCCCCGAGATCGGTGGCAACTTTGCGGGGTGGCGCTTGGGGGGTTTAGGGTTTAGGGTTTAAGGTTTAGGGTTTAGGGTTTAGGGGCCCACGGTCTAGGGGGCAATTGCGGTGTAAGGGTAGCACCCCACAACCCCCCCCCCCCCCCAAAAAAAAAAAAACGAACACCCGAAACCCACGTCTCCCCCGAAACCTCATCGCAGAGTTCAGGCACCACGCCGGGCGTCGCCTGGAAGTTTCGCTGTTCAGGATTGCGCGCTCAAGGCCGCCCTAAACCCTAAACCCTAGACCCTAAGCCCAAAGCCCAAAGCCCAAAACCCGTTGAGGTTTGAAGCCCCGGGCCTCGAAGCCCTCGACCGTTTTTCCCTAGCCCCTATACCCTACTTGGAGGTTCCTGGTAGCTATTAGCCAGTTATAAGTGTACTTATAACTGTACTTATAACCATATTAGGGCACTTAAGGGGCTTGCTATATTTGGCTAATAGGTTAATAAGTACCATGAACCTCCAAGTATACTTTATGCTAAATGCCTGATGCCCTAAAGCCCCCTCTGGGTCCCATGAGCCCCATAAGCCCTGAAGTCTACAAATCGGCGACCCTTCAGAAACCCTCAAACCCTATGAGCCCTGTGAACCTCTGAAGCCCTAAAACCTAAGCCCTAAACCCTAAGCCCTAAACCCTGAACCCTGAACCCTAAACCCATGAAACCTACATGTACCCTGCAACCCTAAGCTCCTAAACCCTGCAAAGCCTCAGACCGAAACCCTATACCCGAAGCCCCGGCCCCGAACCCTTTAAACGGGTTTAGGGTTTCGGGTTCAGGGTTTCGGGTTTAGGGTTTAGGGTTTAGGGTTTAGGATTTAGGGTTTAGGGGAGCCTAAAACCCCATAAGCCCAATTCTCTGAACTTCCACTGCCAAGTTGGGGGGGGAGGCTTGGAGGCTTCGGGGTTGATATAGGGTTAAGGGTTTAGGGTGGAAGCTTGGGGGCTTCGGGTTGAAATAGGGTTAGGAGTTAGGGGTTTAGGGTGGAAGCTTGGGGATTTCGGGTTGAAATAGGGGTTTAGGGTTTAGGGTTAGGGTTTCGTGTTTTGGGGGGGTGTCTGCTGGGCTTAAGGGCTCGAGGGCTTGCGGATTGTAGGGCTTGAGGGGTTGAAACGGTTGAACAATCATCAAGCAGAAGGCACCATGGGGCTGGCTGTATATACGAAGCATTCCTGTGTTAGGGTTCAGGGTTTCGGTTATAAGGTTCAGGGGTTAAGGCTTTGGGTTTAGGAACAACAGGCTCAAAGCAGAATTGAAATCCGCCAGGATTTAGGGTTTAGGGTTTAGGGTTCAGGGTTCAGGGTTTAGGGTTTAGGGTTTGTAAAGGATTTAGGGGTGACTCACCCCCTTCAAACATATCAAAAAAACAACACTCGTGCACTATCGCTTATGCCCCCGGTCCTGAAGATTCGCATCGCTAGAGAGCGCTAGGTACCTTGCAGCCACGGTGAGGGCGGATGGCACTTGCTTTGGGAGGGAGGGAAGTTCCCTAAACCCTCAACAAAACCAAAACCCAAAACCCTAAACCTAAACCCTAAACCCAAGGGTTTAGGTTTCGGCATTTGAGGGTTTGGAGTGGACACGCTTTTGGTCCCTCATGCAGGCTGCGGGTTCGGGGTCTGGGGTTTAGGGTTTGGGGTTTGGGGTTTGGGGTTCAGGGTTGCGGGATCGAGGGTTAAGGGCCAAAGGTTTATGTGGTGGGGTTTACAAGCAAAGCCCTAAACCCTAAAACCTAAACTAAACCCTGAAGCCTTAAGCCGCCCGCTGTTTCATGTTTAGGGCTCTGAGTGGGTTGTAGGGCTTCAGCTGAGTCACCTGGACGTTCCTACGACTCCCTCGTCAAGGGGCGGCGACCCCCTAAAAACGAAACCATGGCTGGCTTTTGGGGGTTCAGGGTTTTGGGGTCCAGGGTCTAGGGTCTAGGGTTTAGGGTTTTGGGTCTAGGGTCAACACTCAAACCCTAAACTCAGACCCTAGGCCCTGAACCCTAAACTCAGACCCTAGGCCCTAGACAGGGGTCTCCGAAGACAGCGGTACCTGAATGGGGCCTTCAGGAGGGACAAGAGACCAAAAACCTGGTAAAGCGTGCAAGGTTCAGAAAGGAGACCGAGGGGCAGCCATAGCCCAAATGCAACCTGAAACCCCAATAAACCCTGCACAAGAAAAAAGAAAAACCTAAAACCCTTTGATGCGCAAGACCTCTACACCCCCTAAACCCCCCCAAATATCATAGGGCCACAACATCTCCAAGCCTCAGCCCAATACTGGTTCTTAGTAGGGCATTTGGGAGTTAGGTGCCTTCTGTCGCCTGCATTTAAGCCTTTAAGGGACTAAATGGGGTACCGAATACCCAAATCCCTTTCTAGGAACCAGTAGGCGATAATTCTCTTGCCAAGCCACGCCGTGCGCACACGGACGAAGCCCTGCGAGTCGCCGCCTTCGCGTGTCTCTCTCGGGCGCGCACGTAGGGTTTGGGGCTTACGGCTTAAGGAAATTGATTAGCTTAGGGTTGGGTGTTTGTGGCTTATATGGTTTGAGGTTCAAGAGTTAAGGACTTAGGTGTGCTCTCTCGGGAACCTAGGCGCAATTGCATGCTTGATCATGACTAGAGGGACCCTCAGCCAAAGTGAAGCGCGACTAAGGCTTCTACTCGGGGCCTGAAAATTAAAGCTTTTTTTGTAGGGCATAATCAGGGTTGTTTCAACAATACAAAAATCGCAAACCGCAACGCACCACATACCGAACCGGTAGTATCGCACACACGCCCGCGCCGTACCGTGGCATCGCTTGCGCACATCGGGCCCCCCGTACAACCTACAACCCCCCCCCTCCCACCTGACCCCCGTCCATCCAACTCCCACCTCGCCTCGGCCCCTCCTACCCCCCCTCCCATGGGATTTCGACCCCCACCACACCCCCCCCCCCCCCACCATCCCACTCCCACCTAACCACTCCCACCTAACCCCCCCGCTTGCATGGGATTTGGACCCCCACCACACCCCCCCCTCCCACAACCACTCCCACCTAATCCCCCCCACCCTCCACTCCCACCACCCTCCCACTCCCACCTAACCACTCCCACCCCCCACACCTCCACTCCCACCTAACGCCCCCCACCCTCCCCCCACCTAACCCCCCCCTCCAATGCCATTCCCCCCCTCCCACTCCCACCCAACCACTACCACCTAATCCCCCCCACCCTCCTCTCCCACCACCCTCCCACTCCCACCTAACCACTCCCACCCCCCCTTAATTATTAATTAAGGTTTCGGGTTCAGTGTTTAGTGATCAGGTTCCCCAACCCTAAACCCTAAACCCTAAACCCTAGACCCTAAACCCTAACCCTAAAACCTAAACTTCTCCGCAGCTCCCGCATCCACGCCTTTGTCCGGATGGTTGGCTTTGACTTTGTTGCGGTACGCGGCTTTCACCTGGTGCCAAGTTATATAGCGGGGCCTGAATAATTAGACTCGGACTTTGGGTGACATTTTTTCGTAGACTTAAATTAAAGGGGCCATAAGGGATTGCCACTACTAGTGTTTTCCGACCCCTCTCTTACGCCGGGGTGGTTTTGGGTTGGGGGTCACGACCCCGGGTTTCAAATCATGGCAACAGAGGTTAGCAGTGTCGGTGCTTGGGGT